TCGAAACAGTTTGTAGCAGCATAGTCCGTCATTGGGCGAACAAATTGCCCATATTAAGCATCGGATCGGATCGAGAGAGAGAGAACACACTTGCATCTAACACATCGCACATATCCCATGGACGAATTTGTTAGTTTTGTTAACATAACTCGTTTGCGTAAATATTGTGAAACAAAATCCACTGAGATCCACAAACATTAATGATTGAAAATAATTTACTCTAGTATCCAGAAGGATGGAGACAAAGTCCGATTCAGTCGGGATATGAAGGTTAAGATAATTGTTTGTGGTTGAAATTTACCCGCGAAACCGGAAAGCGGATTTCCTGATAAATGTAGTATTTTATGTTGTGTGTATTTCGTTTCATGTAAACTGTTTCCGGTAAGCAAAGGTTTCGTATATCTAGGGTCCGTATAAACGGGGCTCCACAGTTTGTCACAACACATCCCCGTGGTACATATTCCTAACTACCTGTTGTGTCTATGGGAAATGTGTGATTTCTACCAGATTTGGCGGGGAAGGTATCAGAATTGTTTTGGAAGGATATACACTCTCAAAAATGAAACGCACGGAGGTAAATCTAGGGGAAAATATCTTTATTTTGAATAACAACAACAAAGTAAATTAAAATCACACAGCTTTGAACCTTTGCATGATGAGGGTCATTGGGTAGCTGCGCCAAATGAATGTAAGTTCATGTCACCACAACGTCAACGCTGCACTGGACGTCGGCTTTAAGGTCAGTACGGGTTGTGACCTCCGTTTGCACTGCTGGGCATCTCCTGGGTATAGACTGAATAAGTGTTCGGATCCGAGCCCTGGTGTTCGATTGGGTTCAAATCAGGGGATTTAGAGGGCCAGGGAAGCACTGTAATGTTCTGTTTGGTGACGAAGTTCATTTTGATGCACATTGTATGGGATCCGGCGTTATCCTGCTGGAATATCTGTCACTGGAAGGAGGTGACGTTTCAGGATTTCATCTCTGTAACGAATGGTGGCTGGATTGTTTAGAAAGTGACAAGCCTTCCCAATTGCTGGACACAATGGCGTATTTGATAGATATGAACTATGCAATATGTGATGGGAAGAGGACCATTTTAGCAGTCCGAGGTCTGCATGGACGATATTTTATGTACGTTGAACAAACTTCGAAAATGCTCATTAAAGGTTGTTTTTTCACCTAATGGTTTTCAAAGATTGGGCCAGACAACCACTGACTCATCCTCGATAATCTCCAGGGTATATGTTACGATAAATCTCCACTATACCCTGGATGCATCTACGGCTCGGCCCGATGATTTTTTATTACCTCCGTTGGCCGGCTTTTTATCCAATCAGGTGTCTACGCTGGGAAGTTGAGCGTACCAATCACAACTCACTTTCGCTTCTTTTATCTAACAATTAAACTTGGCAACACAATTGTTGCAGAGGTACTCTGGAAGTGATAGAAGGAGTTCTTGCATATATTTTTAAGGTTTCAGACCTGTCAATTTATCTGTATGATTTTTCCCCCTAAATCTGAGTCGCATAGCGAGCAAACTTCACGACTGCGTCCGCTATCTGCCCACTGGCAAGCTCGGTTGCAACGGCTGATCTGATTGGCTACTGTGAGAAGGCGGAATGGGTTGTGCAATTCCGTTTGATAGACACCATACTCTGCAATATTCAAGCCATATGGCGGTGGGCTGTAAATAATCGAGTTTGGACCAGACAATCCAGTGATCATCGATCTCATTTGTCAACCAAGTCAGCGAGCCTGGCCACCCGATCCCGTTATGGCACTGGTTCAAGTACAGAAGGATCGACTTCAGATAATATGCTTTTAGCGTGGTAGAACAATATTTGTTCAGTGGAATGAGTAAAACATTGCCCCATCTGAAATATAACGGATGCTAGTTCATGTCAACGGATCGTGGATAGTTGGTTTAATATCAAACATATATGTGTAGTGTCTCAACCAGTCAGAACGCAAGCAGACTAAAGCAAACATTTCCATACTCTTGAAGATAGCGTGTGAACGTTTCTAATCAACAACACCTAAGTGAGTTAAGATAAATAGGGCCCGTAAGTAGGTCACCGCACTTCCCGAGACCTTGGTACTTCCGGTGACAAACAACGTTTCATACCTTTTCAAATGGCCTCATGGTTGTCAGTTGACAGGAGGGAACCGATAATCCTTGCAGGAATAACAACGAAATTTCTGATCTAACATCATCAATTAGATAACTTTTACGACTGTCAACAGCTGTGACAGCCAAGCATGGTTGTACACTTGGTCCGGTCTAGTAAAGTCATATTTGGCTGTCACGCAATTTGGGACCAGAACTGGTTCTTGAATATACGCTTGTCACTGGAAATCTGGTACCGGAAGTAAGCACGGTCCCGTCTCTCATAACGCAAGTTGGCGCACGCAAAGGGAACCTGGAACCAGCTAAGTACCGGAAGTAGCGCCCCGCGAGACCTACAGGACCTATTGTAAAAAGAGGACAACGGGTGTTGAGGCTGGTGGAATATTGCTCGTGGGGAGGTTGAGTGTTTGAAAGATAAAGTTACCCGCCCGCCTTTCAATAGTTACAACACCCTTTTCTTTCTATAGTCAGGGCTGTTGGTAATAGGACGGTCCAACTAAGGGTAATCAAGCAGGCCTTTGGCAATGCATGGAAGCACACTAAATATGGAGGAATACTCACCTACTGTAGTTTGTATGGTGTGGTGATGAAGGATCGCGGCATCTTCACCTTAAAGTAAAGTTAAGCTAAATTCATCGTTTTTTATCCTTAACTCAACATCTGAAACTCACGTCTCCTTACGACGACACGCTGCCTTGTCAACGGCGACTCCACAGATGCTTGACCAGCCGATCTACAACTATGAGGTAAAGACTGAATCGGGGGACGTCATCTACGATTCTGACTTTTTCTAAATTGTTTGTCATACTGACATGTGCTTGATAGCTCCTCATGATAACATATCAAACCTTCTTGAACCTGACTCGCCTTTAAGGCATTTGAACTCCGCCATGCTAGCTGTTCCTAGTTATGTCTGCTATTTAATCCAGTCAAATCAGATTATATGCCATTATTGTTATCTGACGTTGAACTATAGGTCTGTGGCCTCTTCAGTATTGGAAAATAAGAGATTTGACTATTTTATCATATCATTTAAACATACTTCGTGTTGTTTCAACGATATATAGTATATGCGTACATAAACCATTGGATTAGAGGCGCTTCTGGTTTAGCTTTATCCTGAATTGCTTGACCAAAAATATTTAGTTCGCAGAGATTTGCTGGTTTCAATTTGAATACATTGTATTTGTCTGTTTGGGTTACTCACTTCAGCAACGAAACAATTTTTTAAAACTTCATCCTACACGTTCGTATCCTCAAATAGCAGTAGCATAAATTATGTAGTAGTATATAGTATAGATATAATAAATACAATTTGCTGTAAAACAATCTATTTGGGTTGCACACTGTAATACCGTATGAAATGGGACGTTTTTCATTATTTTACCGTCTAAACAAAATATATGTCGGTGTATCATCAGGTTTTCGGTGATAATGGTATTAAAAGCTATAAATGACGATTGTGAAAGTTTAATCAACGTGAATTTAGTCATTTACCATGAACGTATCATTGAAATATATGAGACATTTAAAAATTAGAGAGTTCATAAAATCCACATGCCTTCTGTCTTCTCGGAACTATCTATGACATGGGTAAAACACAGAATGTTTCTCGATGTCGATGATATATTCCACACTAAAAACAATTCTGCTTTATGACGTCAGCAGAAACTAGCCACCACCGTATGGGTTTTACACAAAACAAATTACATATGAATATGTAAGGGCATATGGACGCGCACTATGACTGAAATGTGTGACTTTGTCCCATGGAACATATCAGAAAATGTTTGTTTTGGAAATAATATTCCTCTAACGGCCAATATTGTTCATTCTCTTTATCATATTACTGTGATCGTCTTTGTTCAATGTCTGTAGAAGATGGGTTCAACGGAGCGTGGAACATGATTGGCCCACAGTCATATCTGTGTCCATTCCCTTGACGCCATTATACCTACGCGTTGGTGCGGAGTGAAGACATTATGGCGGTCAGGATGGTCGAACATCAAGACCTTTCTTAATACATCTCCCTATCAAAGACAACACAGAGAGCAATAATACATATCTCTCATGCAAAATATAGACATTTGTCAGAAGCACATGAGTTGAAGATATGTCAGCAGAATTCAATACTCTGGTTGGCAATTACCTCGTTTATAAAAGGACAGTTTGCAATGCAAGAGATAGGTACATTGGTAGAGGCCTTTGACAGTGAACATCGTCGTAGTGTCTGTCGTTCTCCTGGTGGCTGTTGCAGCCAGCCACGTCTCTGCTGCAGACAGGTATGTTGCTGTTTACATCACTCTTCTATGGAATTGTTTTCTGTGTATGTGTGAGTAAATGTTGTTTTACGGTCGCAATATTGAAGCCATGTCACGCACGCCTGTCCGTAATCGAGTCACGCGTATCAGTGAGAAAGAGTCACGCTTATAGGGGAGAGATGAGGTACAGTTAGAATTCTCAAACATAAAACGCCAAGGCCAGAAATTAACCAGTCTTGGTTATCCACCGCAACGGGTTCTTTTAGGAATAAAATCAAAAGAGCGGTGAAAATTCACTCATGGCATAGTTCATAATGAAAGCGGGGCGGTGGGGTAAGCAGATGGTTAATTATCGTGTTTACATCTGGCTTTGTTACAAATGTTCACTTCATTAAGACTGACTGACTGACTGAGTTTGGTTTTACGCCGCTTTTAGCAATATTCCAGCAACATCACGGCGGGGAACACCAGAAATGGGCTTCACACATTGTACCCATGTGGGGATTCGAACCCAGGTCTTCGGCGTGACGAGCCAACGCTTTAACCACTAGGCTACCCCACCGCCCCTCACTTCATTAAGAAGGATAGAAGACTATACTATAAGTAAAATATGTGGTGAGCCAGTGAGGATTGATATTTGACGCATTATTGTCATATTCACCTAAAGGTTGTATCAAAATGACTAAATGTTATAATTGAGGGACTTATGTGACAACTTCAGACTTTGTCCTGAGTCAGATAAAGGGGCGGTGGGGTAGCCTAGTGGTTAAAAGCGTACGCTTGTCACGCTGAAGACCCAGGTTCAATTCCCCAAATGGGTATGATGTGCGAAATCCATTTGTGGTGTCACCCGCCGTGATATTACTGGAATAAAACCATACTAACTCACTCACTACAGCGGAAAACAGATAGGCAACCGTCACAGTTAACACAAACCAATGTCAGGTAGGATGTCAAGTGAGTGAGTGAGTTTAGTTTTACGCCGCACTCAGTAATATTCCAGCTATTAAGCGGTGGTCTGTAAATAATCGACCAGACAATCCAAGGATCAACAGCATGAGCATCGGTCTACTCAATTGGGATATGAATTTTATGTCTACCAAGTCAGCGAGCCTGACCATCCGGTCCCGTTAGTCGCCACTTACAAGCATGGGCTACTGAAGATCAATTCCAACATGATCTTCACGTGTCAGATAGGATGCCAAGCTGAGGAATCGGAAATGCTTGTTTTCTCACGAAAGACGTATACGTTTACTCCCCTGTTATTCTAACCATTTCAGCATCTCTAATGATTAGTGTGCCTGGGATGACTGCAGACATTTACTGAGAAATCGACGTTTATGTTATAAACAATATTTGTATATTGACTGAACGTCAAACAGACAAATAGACAATCATTCAGACTGAGTGCATATCCGGTATGTTGATACAGTAATTATAGTAGTTTCATTCAGTATTCATTCAATGAAGGTACAGCTATTTTTAGCAGCCGCATTTGGCTTAGCGTTAATACCGTGTCACTGTTTTATACAGGTGTTCCTACCTGCAGTACTACCTGGAAGCGTACAAGACCAGGTGTGGCTGGTACAGCTGGGGCAGGTGTTGGAGCTACAGGTAACTCGTCATCATCATCATCATCATAACCTAATGTCAACGTCAATGTGTAATGTTCTCGATGCAATGAATAGTTTATCACTTAGCCTATGTGGTAACGTGGTATTACTTGGGAGAACTTGGTATAAATATTATGTGGAGTTACCTGTACCGTTTTCGGAGTGGTGCGTAAGTTGTGCATAAGTTGTTGTTTCAAAATATCCATGAATATTTTCATTAAACAAACACGTAACACTGAAACAAATAGTCAGTTTCTCTTGTATTTTCGTAAATGTTCAACCGATAGTGACGGAAACCTGTGGAAGCCTTCCGGGGCCATTTCTTTTCCATGTGTTTTCTTATGAAATTTCGAACAATACTGGCACATAACTTCACCAATATAGTACAATTTTGATCTTCTTAACAGGTGGATATTGTGATTAAACAACACATAATAGTCATACTAAGCAGTGAAAGTTTGGAACGATCATTTAACGCATCTATTCCATTCATGGTCTGCGCATGTCCCGGAAATGAGCCAGTTGCGTATGTTGTTATGCGTCCTGTCTCCAGTGCGAAACATGGTCAAATTCGGGGTTTATTCTTTGAATATGCCACAGCTACACGTGAATATTGGACTGTGCAAGTGACTTGAAGAAACAGAAATAAAACGCTTCAAGAATTCAGGCGCGTAGCAAGCCAAATGTTTCATGTAAGCCCGATAGGTTGCAAATCTTTTTATTTAGATAGTATATTGAGGACTTGCCCAACCTTTTTAGCAAACAATCATGTGTAAGCCCGGGCTTTTTTTCATAATGGTAGCTACGCCCCCTGGAATTGGAGACCTTGAAACACGAATATCAGTCTTTGTCAGCTCAAACATCGTATTGATGAGGGGTGACGTGTATTTAACATGTTGAAATCTGATATCATGATGAACATTATGAAACATGCTGGTGTTGATAGGTTGTATCCTTTTCAGGTACAAGACGGAGTTGCGCTACAAGGACTGCAGTAAGTTTCACTGAAGATTTGTGCGACGAATATTTTCATGCATAAAACCGTGAAGATTAGGGTTAGAATTGGTCTGTCGCAAGAGGCATTTAGCGGGATCGAGTCAGGTTCGCTGACTTGGTTAACACACATAGGTCAATGCTCATGATGTCAATCACTGGATTGTCTGGTCAAGAGTCCATTATTTACACACCGATGTCATGTAGTTGGAACAAATGAATAACTTTTATACATATACTGTATTTCTCTGAAACATCAATATTTCAGTATTTTTAAATACACCGTAATACAAATTTTCAATTTTTAAACAAAATACAATTTATCTATGTATAGAAATGGAACATGAGCTTAAATATTCACGACAACTAAAACGTCATATTTGGTATAACGTTGATCTGGCAGCCCACGGACAGTGGTCATCCTGGTCAGCCACCAGCGAGACGCAGTGCTCGGTGTCATGCGGAGGGGGAGAGAAGGAGATCACTATGGACCGCACCTGCACCGCCCCAGCCCCCAGTAATGGGGGACGCAAGTGTTCAGGGGAATGCCGTAAAGTAGACGTCGCCGACTGTAACGAACAGCCTTGTCCAAGTGAGTACACGTCGTCCTCGTTAGGACTACGTTTTAAGTTTTATTTTACCGATATCTTGTGTTAATTTCCCCAGAAGCAGAAAACTAAAATACTACAACAGCGCCCTGTATCATGTTGTGTATGTGTGAGTGAGTTTGGTTTTACGCCGCTTTTTGCAATATCACGGCGGTGGACACCAGAATGGGCTTAAATCATTGTACCAATGGGGGAATTGAACCCGGACCTTCGGCGTGACGAACAAGCGTTTTAACCACTTGACTACCCCACAGCCCCGTTTTGTATGAACTTATGTCATTATGAAGCATATTTTCAATCTTTGGGTTTTAGCAAAAAGATTTTTATGCAAGTGTTTGGGTGACGGGCAGGATCTGCTTACCCGTTTCACGAACAAGTGGTGTCACCACGGTATCCTGTGGCGCATTCATATAATTTTCTTAGCCATTCTTTACTTCTTTAGTCATATTATAGTTAGCTGCAGTTGACATTCAAGACTTTCAAGATCATTACTCTGCCTCAAATATTATATTTGGATAAGTTTTGAAAAAGTAACCATTGTATGGGATTATTATTTCACACATCAGAATTCGCACAACCGTGGTAGGGTTAATCAGTTCTACTCAAACGAAGTTAAAGAATACATCCTTGCATAATTCTATAGTAATGTGTCATGGCAAGACAGATTAACTTTGAGCGGAATATAATTTACAAGTATTATACTTCTTGAGTTACAGTATCAAGGACAACTCGGGTATTTATACCGTAAGGAAACATTACTGTACACCTACTTTCTTCATGGTTGTTGTCGTAACGCTCGCTGTAATTACTATAATAAAATATATTGGCAGGTCGCTCGGTGGATTGGTCATTGTTGAAGTTAATGTTCGCGACGTCGAAAGGAGAAAATTTATATTTTCATATGTAAAGTGATACACCTCCTAAACAGTTATATTTTCACGTTAGAAGTTAAATATGCGTATCGTTTTGTCAAATTACGTTGAAGGTTGATGTATATACAAACATCTATATCAGGCATTCAAATATGTATATTTATTTTTAAGTTGCTTGAGATAATATGAAACCTCAGTCAAAAAGAATACCCCATCCCCAGAAAACGTTTCTATTTGGTTTAAGGGCTGTGAAAAGTATATCAAATATACCATTAAAAAATCACTATGACAGCAGGTGTTCGCGAAATGGGTAATTTGAATAAAATATTTAATTAAATACACAACATTAAAACGTACATAATTTTCTCCGCCTCCGGAAATACTTGATCTGATGTGAATACACTCTTACGCTTGAACACTCAAGAAACAGAGAAAAATCAGGTCAGGTTATTTCTTGATCTACTTTTATTGAAATTGTTTTCCAAGCCAATTGATCTACATCAGACTTAATTTATATACCAAATGATCAATTTTGTAAACGTTTCTTAAAAACGTCACTCAGGTATTCAAAAACAGTTTGACCGCCTATTGAATTTAAGGCTGGAGATGAGAAAAAATATATATGGATGGCCGAGGTTGTTTATCTCCGGCTAAGTGTTATTACAGGGCGGTGGGGTAGCCTAGTGGTTAAAGCGTTCGCTCGTCACGCCGAAGACCACATGGGTACAATGTGTGAAGCCCATTTCTGGTGCCCCCCGCCGTGATATTGCTGGAATATTGATAAAAGCGGCGTAAAAAAATCTCACTCACTAACTCACTGGTGTTATTACTGTTATCTTTTTGCCGTATTCCAGTTGACGGGGGATGGTCGGACTGGGGGGCGTGGAAGGGCGGAGACTGCTCAGCCATGTGTGGGGGAAGGACCATGAACCAGCACCGGAAGAGGACCTGCACCAACCCAGTTCCTCAGTTTGGTGGCGCCGGCTGCACTGGTGACGACAGGGAGAACGGAACGGCTGATTGTAACACCGACGCATGCGGCGGTGAGCGTTGACATATTTTTTTTAATGTTTTTTATCTATGTGTCATAGGTGGTCAGTTGTCTAAGGCGCCACAATTTGCTGTGCAGAGTGACGTCCCTTGGCAACACCAAAAACTTACATGTGTGATTGTGGGTTCGAGTCCACGCGTCTGAGATCTGCAACTTCGGAATTTCCTTTCTCACTGATATGTTTTAAAATGAAATTGTTTCGACTTATGAAGCAAAGCGTAACATAGAGCGAAAGTTCACCAATTTTGTAGACGTCACTGCCGTTATTCGTTTATCTCATGAGATTACTAACTCATTCAGTTAGCTTGGCGAAGATTTGGCTTGGGCTTCCCATATAGGTTCAATGTAAATCGCCGTAACATGGTATATTGCTATATGTCGCATAAAACGTCATCCATGTACTCGGACTGTGAGGGAAGAATCCTCATCCATGTGTCCCCACGTCAGCTTATTTTCAGTGATGTCTCCTCGTCCATATATCTCAGAGATAAATCCTGGTCCATAAACAACTGAGTCAGCATATCTCAGTGATATCTCCTCGTCCAAATATCTCTAAGTCAACTTTATTGCATTGATAAATCGTGGTCCATATATATCTAAGTCACCAATTTCTCAGTGATAAATCCTGGTCCAAATATCTCAGTATTTTTTAGTAGTTTTGTAATTTTCCTGATTTACATATCTACACGTAAACGTATTCTCAATGTTTAAAATGATAATATTATGAATTATTAATGTATATATTGTGACTGATTTTCTCTTCTGAAATGTTCGCTTGTAATTTCCATTCTATAAAATCACACAATATTTCCAGATCGCTGTCCCCCTGGTGTGGTCAAGTTCCACCCTCACGTTACTGACAGTACTCGGTACTACCAATGCGACAACGGAGTCGCCGTCCGCAGGCCATGCGCGCCTGGCACCATATTCGACGCCAGCATCAACAGCTGCAGCTTCACCGCTACTCCACCTTCCATCCCTCCCGTCACCAGCTGTGACCCCTCCCTGGGGATGTTTCAGCGCCACCCCCGTGACTGCTCCAGCTTCGTGATCTGCGTGGACGGTGGTCGCGTGTACCAGCAGGAGTGTCCAGCCGACATGAAATGGAACAACGATATCCAAACCTGCGACTACGCTCACAACGTCGACTGCTAGGGCGATCTCCATACGACAGCATGCACCTACGACTCTACTTCAAGCCACATTTCTTCGATAAGCTTTCCTGAAAATCCTAATCGATCTTGAAAAGTATATCTTCATAAATATCAGCTTCAAAATATATAAATTAATTCTTGATTGTGACGCTTCTATATCAATAAAATTACAAGAAATCTCGTTGTATGTGTTATTTGTTAATGAGAACAAATGCATTATCCGAATCAAAGTATGTTTATTTAATAGATATTTGGTAAGTGTTTCTCTTCTTCATTGTAAATATATGCTACGAACGTTACAATATGTAATGACGAATGGCAGATATCCATTGCCAACATGTCTTTATGGCGTTGTCATGTCAGGTCACAATGAACTTTTTTGAATAACGTAGCTTAATTATCTCGAAGTCAATGTATACTTAGCTTTGTGGTGAAAGTGCCCCTTCTGACAGTCCGGGTTTTAATAGTCACACGAGATACTCATGTATAAAGGCCACTTTTAATTGTTCGTGATAATGTTGAAATCAGTGTTAAACGTACTTAATAAAGCACAGAATATAAAGCTACTCAGCACTTCTATGTCAAGGATGTGCTGGCGTATTGTAAAGGCGTCTTCGCAACACCGACGTAGCACCACCACAATACAGTCTACAAGTACCACTCATAAAACTTGGAATACTTCATTTTTCTGTGTGTAAATGTCATTGAAGTATTTCGTCTGGGCACCGGTGAACCAGTTCTTCCAGTCACCAGTGATTCCTGTAAAGATAAAGGAATACTGTTGAACATTTGAGCTATCAACAGCAATGATAATCATCGATTTTCACTATTTATTTTTTTATCTTCAATCTAAAAAGTTTCAGTTCAGAGAAAACAGTATTAATAAGTACATTAAATTACATTTGATTAAATAAAAAATGACTTATATCAGTCATGGCCATAGTGACTGTTACGGGCGAATTAATCACAATGGGTGAGCCGCACTCAATCATATTCCAGCTATATGGCGGCGGTCTGTAAATAATCTAGTCTGGACCAGACATTCCAGTGATCGACAACATGGGCATCTTTCTACGCAACTGCGATACGATGACGTGTCAACAAAGTCAGCGAGTCTGATCACCCGATCCCGTTAGTCGCCTAACCTAAGGAAGACCTAATTCTAACCCCGGATCTTCTCGGGTGATATAATGATAGATGAATTTTGATTAAACAAGTATCCCGGGCTGGTTAAAGCGTTTCGGGATATCTGTCTCTTCAAACACAGAAGTCCATCAGTGGGTCCACAACACTTCATTCGGAAGCTAAGTATGGAATTACATGATAGCGCAGCAACGGCCAGGCAGCATCACAGCGGCGATCGTCAGCCCACCTGCCTAGCCGCTGTCCGAGGGTCAAGTCCCGTTACATTAAGAATTCATTGTCTATGTACTACTGACTGTCAGGCTGCCCTGGATCGTATTACGATACATGTATGGTCAACCTGCAGTATCCAGCACGCACCTCATCCACAATGTTAAGCTTCCGTGGCCAGCCGGCCATATACTCTAAGGTTCATTAGGGTTAATTACACGCAGGCAGCTGATCTGTACATGGCTGTGCTGATGGTCATGATAATAAGCTGCTGATATTTCATGTATATTGTCAGCACTGTGAATTAGATTTAGATAAGACAACTTTAACTTAACTCAGAGAATATACAAACATGTCTATATTTCCCGATAAAACCCATACCCCATCAAAGTGCCTACGATACAAGTATAGGATGAGTGTCCAATCAGATCTGTGTACTGTGACCACCAAGAGTGTCACAGGTGTTCAGTAAGCCATATTATATATGAGGCTGTTATCTAAGACCTATGATACAACACGGAATTTACCATACCTTTTCTGTAGTGGATGGCGTCACCATCACTTTTCTTAGCATTATCTCCCCTTGCCGTCTTCATGTTCGTGAAATCGGATTGTACAGCTATGTCGCGGACAAGCTGATCCGGACAGTCTATATTTAGAAATTCGGAAGTGCTTTTGGTCACACGGACAGGATCCTGAAATAAATCAAACACTCTCAGATAATTGACGATAATCTGACAAATGTAAATTAATAACTCAGAGGCCCAGATAAGCTGCGTATCCGGGTAAAATACGCATAGAAAATTTCCAGTTACGCATTGAAAAATAATTGTTGCGTACCAATTACGCATTTAAAATGTTAGATACGCAAAAAGCTTAAAACAAATGCGTGCGGAATATATTTATAAAACTAGCTTGCATTATGAAAAAGGCATCGATTGCTATCAAGTTGTACTGTTAGTATAGGACAAGTCTTGTACTGTCAGTATAAGATGAGTGATTTTTTATGAAATCATTTCCATTATATTTAAGTTGGTTTTGATTAGACGTTTTGATTAGACGTTATGACGTAAGGCAGAACATACCTGCATAGTAAACTTACTCAATGACATAATACTTAGGTGAGTAAAATTACTGAAATACGCACATATTTGAAAGCATTGGGTAACTGAAAATGAAATACCCACTCAACATTCATAAAACCTACTCAAAAAACATACAGTGGGTATAATACCCACATGAGCTAAATCTTATCTGGAGCTCTGTATTAATAACAACAGAAATCAATACTGAAGAGAAATGGTTTACTTGCTTTCTTATAGTTCCAGACAGGAACAGATTCTATAAATTGTGGAATGCAAATAGTGGTGACAGTTATATGAATTGATTGCTGAAAATCAGTGTTGACACCAGGCATTCCCGAAATAGGAAAGCAAGTCCTGCTTTAACAGTAGCACCATCACACATCATCATCATCATCATCATCATCATACCTGTTTAGTCTCCTCGTATCTGACTATCAACACCGGGTGGTCAGACTCATTCATTAGTTTCTCCCAAGAGAGAACAGCGTCAAACCAGGAGCCCCAGGCAACTACAACACATTGTTAAAAGGATATTCACATAGTATTCAACTTTTGTTAGGGATATAAATGATATTTATCTTACCTCACTCATAAATGTCGTTTTCTGATTGACTGAGCGCTTTTCTATTATTTTCAATGTGCCCCAGTAATTTACAAGCCAGTAACATGTTATATGTTACCCGCTGGGAATGCCGAACTTTGGGAATTCATTTGGTTATTCGTGTTAGTAATTCTTTATCTCGAATTATTGAGTCACGTATGATGTACGGAAATCACCGATGTTTTAGGAATGCAAACCGATGGAAGGGAGATTACTCGTCGTCGTCTGCTAGATTCTATGTCATCTGAAAATCTAGTATTGCTCATTGCCTTGGGATCAAAATCTGGGGATATGCCTTAATGGCTCACTTCTCAACGACTTTTCATCCAACAAAAATCGGGAAAGTGACATTCGTAATGTGCTTTCTGATCATGTAAACTTGAACTGAAATCATCGTCTACCTCACGTTTCAACTGAAAAAAACCATTTGGAATGGAAGAGACTTTCCACAGCCAGCTGGAAGTACTGAAAATCAAACCTGCCAGTTCACAGGTCCGTTCGTCAATTTTCAAAGCGTTGTCTAGAGTGGACTAGTTTGAAACAAGTGCCACAAAGCAAGAGAAGAGTTGTTCTCTGATTGGCCCATTTTGTTCTGGGGAGCTAGGGGGTTCATCAATTTTGTACACACGTACTAGGGGACGGGGCGGTGTCAGCAATTTTGTACATAAAATTATGTTTAAAAATTATGCTTAGAAATTATGGGAAGGGGGGAAATTGATTTTGTACATGACATGCAGGGGCACTTATTTTTGGGGGTTATTCACGTTGTACATGCTTCTCCATAAAGACATCATCACCCCCCCCCCACCCCAGCCATAAATTATGAACGGTCCCTAATTATGGCATAAGCGAGCACTGAGATGTGGATCTAAGTTAGACTGATACAAATATCCTTCTGTATATCTCAGTGGGCGAAATTCGCGCTGGTCCTGTGGTCCTGGCTAGTAAAAAATCATCAGGACAAATAATTGATAAGTTTGCAGTGGTCCCGATGCCCAGTGAATTTTAAAGTAAATCTACGAATGTTATTTCAGACCAGTGAAGTACAGACATGACCACTAGGTATTGCCCACTCGCTGGTCCTGTGGTCTATTTCAGACCAGTGGCGTGCAGACAGGACCACTAGTTATTGCCCACTCGCTGGTCCCGTGGTCTATTTCAGACCAGTGAAGTACAAACATGACCACTAGTTATTGTCCACTCGCTGGTCCCGTGGTCTAGTGGGACATTTTGAAAGGCTTTGAAAGACCTAGTAAGGCTCCACAATGACAGAATAGGATATGACCAGTGTAATATTTTGTACTTTGAATTTCCTTTTTACTGTTGTTTCTTTCTCTATTTAGTGAATAGTTACACTGAGCAAAATCAAAAACAAATAAGCCTTTCAACTTTTAGCATATATTTTGATGCTTATATATTTTTTTAACAAACCGCTATATCCTCATTTCTTGTGAGAGCTGTCATGGAAAGAAACTGATATGAGGGTACTATATTTTGCCTTCAGATCCGTCTTCAGCAACCCATGCTTGTTGAAAAAGGCGACTAATGGGATTGGTTGGTCAGGCTCGCTCACTTGGATGGCACATGTCATCGTATCTCATATGCGTAGATAGATGTTCATGATGTTGATCACTGGATTTCTGGTCCAGACTTAATTATTTACAGACCGCCGCCATATAGCTGGAATATTGCTGAGTGCGGCGTAAAACTAAACTAATGTTCGTGACGTCAATGAAGAGGTTATTATTCACAGATCGCCTTCATAAGTTGGAATACTGAGTGTGGCCTTAAAAAAACAAACGAACAAATAAACAAACAAATAAACAAACCCTTTCCCTCAGCCGCAGCTATCAGATATTCATGAAATCCCATCATTGTACCTTTCGCTCGAGTGGTTAGAACAAATTTTGACACTAGGACGTCCCTGGGGTCTCGCATCAAATAGATAATCTTAGTTTTCTTCTTCCGCACTTCTGCTGGCAGAAAGTGAAACTGGACATGTGTGTTGAGAATCCTTGGTGAAGGGAGACAACTCAGAACCTCTTCCGGTTGCAATTCTAGCGTCTGGGACCCCTTTTCATGAGGACTAAGTTCCGCTTTTCTTCTCAGTAGCCTATGGACCAGTTCAAATGTTAGATGTGTTCCTGATCAGATATGAAACGCATTTGCAATATCCGTGACGGAATACTTTGATTTCGACATCATCTTTAACAACTAATTCTATTAGATGGTGGATTTGTTCTTGTGTCACAATGCATAGCTCACTAATAATCGTAAACTCTTGCAGGTTCCTATGGATATACATAGTCCCGAGTCAAGCATTACCTCGGGCTTTCTTCCCACAAAGAGCTTACTGGCCTTGATATTACTTGATAAAATCAAGGGGGCTTTAAACCCACTTACTGCCCCTCTTGCTTCACTTTTGTGCTCTTGTCGAAACCCAAGACGACATTTGATCAATATGACACGATTCTGAAGATTATTCATACTTTGTACCATTTGATTCATGCAGTAAGAATGAGTACAAAATGTTGCTTAATGCTTAATACCTGATCTTGCGTGACCACACAGCAGCAGATCCTCGTCACGGATGTTGACGTTGGAAATGTTCTTTATCGTTTCGCAATTGAAACTGGGAGGAAAGTACGTTCCATCTACGTCCAGGACAGTGTAGGGGTTTCCTTTGCAGTCCAATAACTTTGTCAAAGGCATCTTCACCTTGAAACCTAAGATACCAACAATGTTTAATTACAATTGGCCATTACAATGTCACTATATACTTCTCTAAAAATAACAATATATTTTTCTCAATAGTAATAATTATCAGCCCTCAGCGAAGCTACAATAAAATTTATTCAAAAATAAGTTACGTATTTAGATTAAATTTAAGTTCTTATGTATACGTTACGATCAAGTTCCACTATACCCTGGATGCATCCACGGCTTGGCCCGATAATTTTATAACCTCCCTTGGCTGGCTCCGCATTCTCACAGTAGCCAATCAGCTAAGCCGCCGTTACAACCGAGCTTGCCAGTGTCAACAAAGATAGCGGTCGCAGTCGCGGTTTGTTTCGCAGTGCCACTCCGATTTTTGGGAAAATAATACAGACAAACTGTGAGATCTGAAACTTTAAAAAATATATATGAAAGATCTCGTTCTACCTCTTTCAGAGTACCTCTACATCAATTGTGTTGCCAAGTTTGAACGGTTAGATAATTTAAGAATCGAAAATGAGTTATGATTGGTACGCTCAACTTCCCAGGGTAGACACCTGATTGGATAAAAATCCAGCCAAGGGAGGTAATAAAATCATCGGGCCAAGCCGTGGTTGCATCCAGGGTATAGTGGAGACTTCACTGCCGAAGTAAATCGAGCCTGGTAATTCTCTGGCGTTCAGCCTAGAAATGTCAATTAAAATATTCTCACTAAACAGTTTTTGGTAATAAATGCAGAGATCCCTGACAAAATCCTAAAATAAAGTTCAAATACGCCAGGGTCTGGTTTAGGACGGAATTATTCAGATACAGGTTAGAGATGCCACTTCTGACATCAGTAAGAGTCAGTAACATCAACACGTGATGGCAAATGTGAGAACCCACAGCCTAGCTACCATGCCATGAACTCGCATGCCATTTCATTATCCACCATCAACGTTCTTGTTTTGTCCAGTGGAGAGATTCTGGTCACTCTGAGATGTATGCACACACACACGCACGCACGCGTTATGTTTGTAGTACATACCCGCGTGATAACTTATCCTTGACACACTCACCTTAATAAGTCCAGCGCCACCATTATATAGGGTCCAAAAGACAAGCCTGCAACTACACATATCGGCAGTCCATTGGTGACAAAACACGCTGGTTGTGTGTGCGCACATTAATTATACTATCGACAAACGCATATTGAATGAGCGAATAGCGCTATGAATTTATTGTAAATAAGTCTCTTTGTTAATATATTGAAAATAATATCTTTGGCTCCAACAAAAAAAGATTACTCACCGTACTTTTCAGGTCAGCGGTCTTTGTAAATGTTTACATTGCTATGAATATATTTACCACGATTCTCCCACATTGCCGTATAATGATCACGAATAACTAGAAGCGATAAAACATTTCTATAGGCACGATGAAAATCTAAGATCAAATCCATTGTGGGCTTTGGTTACATATGTATGTGTTTATGAATCACTATCAAATAGTGCACTGTCAGGTGGTCGCGTTTTGAGTGAATGAGTTTAGTTTTACGCAATATCACAACGGGGGGACACCAGAAATGGGCCTCACACATTGTACCCATGTGGGGAATCGAACCCGGGTCTTCAGCGTGACGAGGGGACGCTTTAACCATTAGGCTACCCCACCGTCTCCGTTTGCGGTCTGATTTCCCCGTGCTTTCCTATAGTATTGTCGATGTGAAAATATGGTGTTAGGAAAATAACGAGGAATGACCAAGTTGTTTTCCGGGAACACCTGGTGTCATCGCTGATTTTCAATGATCCATTCATATAGTTTCCACAGCTATCATCCATCTTCACAACGAACGGAATTTGTTTCTGAAGATAGTCACCAATGACTGAGTGAGGCAGTATATGGCAAGTAAACCTGTCCCAATTTAGATAACTACATACAAGCCTGAGGCGAGCACGCATGACTTGACAAAAACGTCTGGTATAATTATCACCAAGCAGAACCTCTAATTTGTTCACACTTTTGACTTATTTGTTTCTTTAAACCTGATAGCGTTGAACATTTTCTGGTTTCATCTGGTTATAAGTTCCATTAATTTTAAAGTATCAGGAAGAAAGGTCTTGCAGTTTAAAAGTTGCAAGTTATCTCGCTTTCTTAGATAGTAGAAAGATGTTTCTGAATTAACGGTTACAGAAATAAGTTCACAACGTGAGTCTGACATGATCCATGTTGTTGGAAGCTAAGCGTACGTGTTTGTAAAAAGAGCATAGGCATATAGTAGCATCATTAGTTTAGTTATTTATACTGGGGCGATGAATATATCTGTGGCTGCTCAAAAACAAAGAATTTCTCTGAATATTGACTGGCAGTACCCTTCTCTCTATTTCAAGTACTACTTACCTCTCCAGAAGAGATCCACATATTGGCTCGCACCATCCCTTATCTCTATTTCAAGTACTACTTACCTCTCCAGAAGAGATCCACATATTGGCTGCAACATACAACACCAGCGACGCACGTGAGCATGAATATTTCTGCGTGACCCTTGTGTCTGTGATAGTCCCACGAGGTAACAATGTTAATGATTAATCACATGCAAGTCATTGGCTTTCATCGTGGGCCTTGGCGTACGACCTGACAGGTATAGCTGCGTAGAT